TTTAGGCCGCTCCGATGCCCGGCAGTATTTTATTTCGATTATTATGTTGGAACTGGATTTTTCTTGTTTCACAAGCTTCTTCTATTTTATTGTCTCTATGGAGGTATATGGGGACTTTACGACATCCGGTTTGAAGGCTTTAACCACTTGTTATAGTTTATTTTTGCATTGTATTGGATTAATGTGGCAGTCTGAGGTTGTCCTAGGTGGTTTTCAAGTTTATGCACCGGGTTTTAATATCTTTTAGCGATTTTACGACAACCGTTTACTATCCAATCAAGGTGACAGCCGAGCGTGTCTATTTTCTAAATTCTATTTTCTATTCGCGCTATCTTATGATCACGGTCTGTGCCCTGAATATCCCGCCGCGTAATTACTGGCAGCGCGAGCCAGTTACTTATAGTAACTTATAGTAACTGGCTCGCGCTGCCAGTAATTACGCCGCGGGATATTCAGGGCACAGACCGTGATCATAAGACATACCGCGAATAGAAAATAGAATTTAGAAAATAGACATTGCATGTGAATGAAGCCTAAGTTTCCCCTAACATTTTTAATTAAATATTTATATTGTTTTTGTCCTTGGCTTTATTCTGAGCTCTTGAAGTGCTCTCTTGTTTTGACATAAAATGACATTTTACCAGTAAACAGTTAGGAATTTGAAATTTGACAGTCTAGTGTTTTAAGATGTCCTTCACAGTAAATTCTGTTTCTCTGTTTTCCAAGGTGGATGCCCAAAACATTGTTCCCTGTTTTACCAGTAAACAGTTAGGAATTTGACAGTCTAGTGTTTTAAGATGACTTTCACAATAAATTCTGTTTCTCTCTTCTCCCAGGTGGATGCCCATAACATCGTGCCCTGTTGGGAAGCCTCTGATAAGAGAGAGTATGGTGCCAGAACAATCAGAAATAAAATACAGAGTAAACTTCCAGAGTACCTCACAGAGTTTCCTCCTGTCATACGCCACCCTTATGCTGCCAAGACCAAGGCTGAGGTAGGGCATTTTCAAAAATTAGGTTTACAAGGTATGCCTGGCTTATGTAGATCTGTTAATTCTGGAATAAGCTCACCTCCCTGAGGAGCACAAAATCATGGCAGTAGCAAATGTGGTCATACTTATCATTCCTAGAGAGCATCCTCTATAATAATATATGCTGAGTGCATAGTTATCATTCATAATATCTGTCCTCTGTAATGTTAGTACATGCTGAGTGCATAGGAAGGACAAAGTAGGTATTATTTTTATATTGAGGTGAGCACCTTGGCAGTTAGACCATATGGTCAAGAGTTCCAGTGAAAATTTTCTAATAGATACTTAAGTAAAATGTATATAAATTCATTAATGATATTTCAGCCAGTTGACTGGTCGGCTGCCGAGGCATCGCTACAGATTGACCGGACGGTGACGGAGGTCAAGTGGGCGTCGCCGGGAACCACAGCAGGGCTGAGAACGCTGGAGACATTCTGCAAGGAGCGCCTGAAGTTCTTCAACGCGGACAGAAACAACCCCAATAAAAACGTCTGCAGTAATCTCTCCCCCTGGATTCACTTTGGTACGCAGGTGTTACAGGTTTCTTGTATGTTCATTGTTCAAACGAAGAAAAATGAAAGGATCTTAAATTTCTAGATTTAAGATTTTATTCCGTGCTTATAGTATGTTCCCCTCTTCCTAGAAGCCATTCATTTAAGCTTGTTGTTCAGGTAAGAGTGGCACACTGTACGAGAAGGCTAGAGACAAAACATTCTGAAATCTCCATGATTGCTCATGTCATTCAATATGGCACTTGACAAAACAAGTTTTATGCTAATATGATTTATTATTATTATTTCATAATATTATTATCTTATGCTAATTCAATCACCTTGTTATACTTGACAGAGGTCTATTGATAATTTTGGCATTTGGTCTCTTTAGCACTTAAAATAGTATGTGAATGGGAGCTTGAGCTTAATATGCCCCAATTTGGTTAAGTTTTGGATGCATGCTATGTTATTATGTTATAATTTCATCTTCTGTGCTAATGTATATTTATTTTTTAAAAAGTATAATAAAATAACATACATTTATCAGTCCACTCCTTCCTATGACCAGATCATAAATATGTATTATACTTAAATAGACGTATAGTAAAATAATATATTTATCAGAGAAGAATTTCATCAGCTGTGTTATGTTATAAGAATGAAGTAATTTTTTCTTCAGTCAACATGTGTGTGTTGGGGGGGGGCAAGTATATTTCCCAAGCAGTGGCTATAAACCTGGATAGCCTCTTTCCCTGATGACGATGATCTGTTAGACATTGAAATATTTGAGTTAAAACCTATATCAATATATATTATCTGTTGACTGAAGAAAAAAAAGTACTAATCAGTATATTTATCAGTTTTAATATTCCTCTAACCAGGCCAGGTGTCTGCCCAGAGATGTGCCCTGGTAGTTAAACAGTTCAAGTCCAAGTTCAAAGAGGGAGGAGATGCTTTCCTGGAGGAATCCATCATAAGGAGAGAATTGTCGGATAATTTTTGTTACTATGTGGAGAACTATGACTCCATAGAGTGTGAGTAAATGGGCCGTTTTTGAACTCCGCAGGGATGAATTTATTGTAGATTTGTCAAAAATTGAATAATGTTATTTTTTCAGAGGTGTTTGAAAGTAAGCATGGTTAATCCATTTTTCTGAGTTCTGAATTTAAATTTTTTTTAAAAGTTTATAATTTTTGACAACATTAGTGAAGTTAATCAGTCTGTGTATCCATTGCAAAAATGACCCAGAATCTTTACGCTAAAAACCACAAAAACTGGGTGATAGTTCTCAACTTTTGGTATGTTAAGGAATAGTGGAAGATTTAAAAAGATTTTATTTCAAAAATAAAAAGTATAATGTTTGTTGCATGCCCTTGATTTTAATGCCATCAGGTGCATACGACTGGGCCAAGGAGACGTTACAAAAACATGCCAGTGACAAGCGCGAGTACGTTTACACATGTAAACAGTTGGAGGAAGGGAAAACACATGACGATCTCTGGAATGCAGCACAGGTATAACTAGGTCATCCGGAAATATATTTTAAATTTCCCTTCATTTTGATGATTACATCTATAGATTTTTCATGGCATGCATGGGTGGGAGAACTTCCCTTTTAACCACCTGCTTCTTGAACAAATGATTAACATGGTTTAATTAAACTTATGTGTGTGTGTTTGGGGTGGAGCAGGGGGGGGTGCTTGAGGAAGGGGTTGATTTCTCCCCTTAGGCCATGCATAAATATAAAATAAATCACATCTTAAACAGATTTACTTGTTTAAAAAATTTGGTCACACCCAACTGCATACAAAGCAGGTGTATTTTTGCCTGGTGTGTGGTCACTGTGCTGAATATTACATAATATGCAGCTTGCAGAGCAAGCTCTTATGATTCATTAAATGTGTTATCTTATAATAAGCTATAATAAGTCAATTCTTTTAATGAAAATTTTAGTTAACTAATGTTTTATCCATTGTGAATCAAGTGTGAACATTAGTTCAAAATTTTGGCATTCCAGATATTTAATATATAAATGTAGCAGTTCTGTGGAAAAACTGTACAAATTCACTTATGACGTCATTTTTCAAAAAATCTTTTATCATTGCAAGATGCTTTGTCACTATTGCACTGAAAAAATAATAGTCAAGTCCTATTAATTTCCCTAGCTACAAATGGTAAAAGAGGGCAAGATGCATGGATTCCTCAGAATGTACTGGGCAAAGAAAATCCTGGAGTGGACCACCAGTCCCGAGGAGGCTTTGAAAATTAGTATTTATCTCAATGATAGGTATGAGCTGGATGGAAGAGATCCTAATGGATACGTAGGTAAGTTTAATTAGCACAAATGTGTATGTGTGTACGTGTGATTGTATGTATGTATGCGTGTGTGTGTGTGTGTGCATGCATGTGTGTGTGTGTGTTTGTGTGCATTTCCAATTCGTTTTTGCATGTGTACCATTTCTCTCTTAATGAACAATGCAAATACATGCATTATTTCTTATACATTGTGCCACCATTACAGTTTTCATAGCTGGGTAAACTAATTATGTATTAAAATAGTACATCTGGCAGAGTTATTGGCCTTTGGGGGAAGATTTTACTTTTATATCTAAAACTACATATATTCATTCTGTGTCACAGATTTTGTAATTATTGACTTTAAAAATACTGATTGTTTATGTTAATTAACATGAAACAAACACTCGAGAGAAGTTATGAGAAATATGACGATGACGCTGATTTTATTCTTAGTTTTATTATATCTCAATGTAATCAGTTGTCTAGTGCAACACTACCATACTATTGTAGTTTACAATACTTACAAATAATAACAGTATAATGAGGTTGCTATAACTTATCATTTATAGGCATTTAACTTCCTACATCAAGCAGTGGCAGCACACTATATATAATGGAATTTCTCTCTTAATCATGTTCCATCTAACAGTAATGGAAATATTTCAAGATATGTGTGATATAGTTCTTTGACAGATCATGAAGCTAAAACTTTGCAAAAAAATAAGTTTAAATAACTTATATCCTCAACAATTCAATTAATAATACATACGTGTTGTTTATTGTTCCAGGTTGTATGTGGAGCATATGTGGTATTCATGACCAGGGATGGGGAGAGAGACCTGTGTTTGGAAAGATACGCTTTATGAATTATCAAGGATGCAAAAGGAAATTTGATGTCCCAGCTTTTGTTAGAAAATATGGAGGAAAGAAGCACTAATATCTGTAGACATGTTTATTTTTAAATAACAGACATTAGTTGTGACATATAATACATGGAAATATGGTTCATGGAGTTCCCTGTTGTAAACGGCAGTGATGCACAAGTGTCAGTATATTTTTATGAAATGTAGACGAATGGTTATCCTTAGCAAGTTAGACTTTCAAGGATGCACAATTCCATAAATTGATGATCAATCTGTAGTATGATGGACTGAATCTGTAGACTTATCAGGTTTTGAAGAAAATATATTTAAGAGGGAAGAATTTCATGTGACTATATATTTGCTGAGAAGAACATGGTTAGTTGGAATCTAACCAGCTGAGTTAAGAGAAGGTTTTATATTACCGGTATTTTTATATATAGTCAGTGCGTGTACATACCAAACTGATAAATCTTTTCAAAGAGCCAAAATATACTTTGAATTTTAGAAAATAATTGATATTTTCATAGTCTTCTTAAGTATGATGATTAAATAGAGAAGGATATTTGTAGTCTCGTTATGCCTTTCTCCTGATGGATTTTTATAAGTATACCTTTATTCTTACAGTCATTAAGTGTAATCACATTGACTGATGTCACAGGGTATTTTTATGATTTACCTTTATACTTACAGTCATTAAAGGTACATACGAACCGAGCATCAGTTAACACATGTAAGCCACTTCTACTAGTTTCTTATATGACTCAAATAAATTGGCCATGCCAAGGGGTAAACTGAATAGATCACTCGATCAGCCATAAAAGAGCTTTACATTGCTCCTTTCTTTAAATTTTTGGTTGGAAATTTAACCTACTTCCGTGACCTACTTTTTTGCCCATTGACATACAGCATAGAATGCTAGCAGCAAAATTCATTCAAACATCATTTTCGGGTAAAATTAAACGATGCCTTTTGGTATTCTCTTAGTTATACTACTTGAAACTAAATGCTGGCATTTGGTTGGTTTTTGTGACAAAAAATTGACTTTGTATGCATCTTTAAGTGTACTCACATTGACTGATGTCCATTGGAATCTGTAAGGATTGGGATGGAAACCAATATTTATTATTTGTTTATGCTATCTATCTTTTTATTTATTTATTTTTTGCAAATACAGAAAATATTACGGATGCATAGTACACGCAGCCACAATAATATATTATAATATAACACATCATTAGACAAAGCATGCTCCTTTTTAAATTATAAGTGAGCTTTGGTCGTGAAAGCAAACATGAATATTGGGTCCTGAAAGTAAATCTTTGTTTCCTTTAACAGGACCCTTTGCAGAGTATAGTAAACTAGGCCTTTTTTTATTTTTATTTTTTTATTCTGGGGCGAGGGGGTATAAAACAAATTTCCAATTGGTAGACATTTATTGAATAAGGTAATAACAAATAAAATGGTACTGATTGATAAACTGCTTCAAATGCATCTATATGTAAATCTACTTGAGGAAAAATAAATTAAATGCTTGGGCATTTTATGAGAAGATTTTGGAGGAAGGGATGCATTATAGTATTTTGAACTGCATTTTGCAGGACATTTGCCCTGTTGGGCATTGTATGGTACACATACACGGTACTTCCTTTACTTCCTTAACTGATATGAAAAGAATGAAAATTTTAAGACCACACGGTTCTGAATAAAAAAAAATGCTGATTCTAATTCAATGACAAATATGTCAGAGTGATATACTTTTAATAAATTATTCAAGCACTGCATAATGAGTTATCTTTGATGTAATAAAAGATAAATTCCCGTGTACTTGGTCTCATTTTCCCAGCTTCAAATGGTAAAAGAGGGTAAGATGCATGGAATCCTCAGAATGTACTGGACCAAGAAAATCCTGGAGTGGACCAGCAGTCCTTAGGAGCCTTTGAAAATTAGTATTCATCTCAATGGTAGGTATGAGGTGGACGGAAGAGATCCTAATGGATATATAGGTAAGTTTAATTAGTGCTTAGTGTGTGTGTGTGTATGTGTGTACGGCTATGTTTTTTTTTTATGTTTGACGTTTCTCCAAAATAATTATGTATTAAAATTGTACATTTGACAGAGTAATTGATCTTAAAGATAACTTTTTTCCTTTATTATCTAACACCACAAATGTTCACAGATTCTGTAATGATTGACTTAAACTGGATTTTTTGACAGCGATTAACTTAAAACAAACAGGGAAGATTAGTTTTAAGAAACACACAACAACACTTGTTTTACTTTTAGAATATATTATTATTTTTATTACATCACAGTGTTAACAGTTGTCTAGTGCAACACTACCATAGTTCAGACAACATATAGATAATAACAGTACAATGAGGTTATAATAACTCATCATTAATGGCTATTTAACTTCCTACATCTAGTTACATCACATTATATACTGTATAATGGATTTCTCTCTTAATCACTCTCCATCTAACGGTAATAGAAATGTCCTTCTAAGATATTCTGGAATATGCACTGTGAACAAATTAAAACATGTAACATGGGTTTTTGATATCTCCATGACTACATGCATAATAATTTGTCTCTTAATAATACCACAACCAGTTGTATTTGAGACATTATGATGGCTATCCTTAAATATGCACATCATAAAGACACTGTTATATGAATTATCTGGTATGTGAAATATTAATTTTATTAACCAGTAAATTTTGAAAAATCATGTTTGAACATCCTTATTAAGCACTTTATTCAGATTACTTTCTTGATATGAAAGAAATTGGAAAAATAAATACTATGTGTTACTTGAAAACAATTCAAACACATGTACACACATTATTAGATAAAATTATATTCATTACTTGAATTACTCACATTGGAATTTTGGACCAGTCTATTGCATATCTCTTTTCAAAACAGTAAAACTTTATGCCTTATATTATAATAATTATATTGTTGTATCTCACATTCAATAATATTTTAATAATTAAAATGTTGTAACTCACGTTCAGTAATATTTTGGAATAAATTATAGTGTTGTAACTCACATTCAATAATATTTTGGAAAGAATTAAAAGCTGCTACAAAAAGTTCTACAGTCAGTTAACCCAACTGATGGGAAATACTGTGATATAGTCCTTAACAATTTTCAGTTCTTTGACAGATCATGATGCTAAAACTATGTAAAACTTCACTGAAATCCAAAGTTCAGTTATATAACAAACAATACCTTTATGCTTTGAAAGTAAAAAAAAAACACGTATACAATATGTTCTAGTTACTACATAGTCGTCCACTGTATGGGACATATAAAAGTGTAAGTATGTCAAGGCGCAGCCCAGATAAAATATGCTTTTTGTATGTCACTTACAATGGACAAACAGTAGTTGTATCTGACTTATCCCATGGCTGGCACTTTGAACAAAAGGTTGAAAGCACCGAAGCTTGGGAAAATACAGGTGAGCAAGTAATTGAAATACACATGCAATACATAAATCCTCTTGTCCAAAGCACCAGCTGTGAGAAAATGATATATCTCTATGCTTTAAATAGTTAAATATTCATTAACTACCTTAATTATTTTCTATACAGCTATTTGCCCTAAAATATATTGGTACTCAGGAATGGAAAGTCATCAAAGCACTTGATCAATGTTACAAGTTGTTCCCATCTCTTTGTTATTTTGATTAGACATTTTAATATGGTAGTCTGATATGAGTTTTCTTATCTTTCAGTAAAAAGGAAATACTCTTTCATACACCCACAAACAAACACACACACTCATACACACACTTATATATAACCAAGCTGGTATTGTACAGGTTCAGGGCTGTTAAACTGTTGAAAGCAGACAAGAACATATACATATAACAAGGTTTGTGTATCTTAGCATAACTACAACTCAGTTATATGTTGATGTAACAGGTCATTTAAGGGATTTTCTCAAACGATTTCCATCAGATATATATTTTGTTTTACAGATATTTTTATATGTACATTATACTTCAATATTTTATTCTTGTTTGGTTTCCTATTGTTTTACGTATATACGTCATTCCAAATTCCACATCGAGTTTAGGGTGAGGGTGGTTAAAATTCATCAACGACAATGCCCCAGTTGATTTTTTTGAAATATTTGATAGCTTCAGCAAATTGTCCCATCAGTATTTGAACAGTAGCAATCTTTTTACATGTATCTATTGTATCTTGGTGGGTGACACCAAGAAACTCTACTTGAACTGATGCACATTTCTTCAGATAAAGAACTCCATCTTTGTACAACTTCACGTCTACCAAAATTTCTCTTGTTTAAAATTGATGATGATGATGATTTGGGAGTATGATATTAATATCTTTATCTTACAGTAAAAAAAGAAAATAATCTTTCAAACACCCTCAAACAGATGTACACACTCATGCACACTTGCTTGCATGTAATGAAGGTCTCACTGTACAGGTTCAGGGTCATCAATTGCTTGAAAGCAGACATGGGCGTGCGTACATAGAGCTAGGTATACAGGGGTAGCTTCAACTTAGTTGTGTTGATGTCATTTTGAAGATTTTCTGGGACAATTTCCACCAGATATATAGTTTCTTTAATATATGTTTTGTATATACATTATATTAAAATGTATATTTGATTCTTGTTTGGGTTTCTACCGTTTTACATAAATACATCATTTCAAATTCCACATTGGATTTAGGGAGATCAAAACTCTAAAGTGGGTTGTGTCAATGGCAATGTCCCAGTTAATTTTTTTTAAGTATTCAATTGCTTCTGCAAATTTCCCCATCACTATGAGAACAGTACCAATCTTTTTACATGTATCTATCGTATCTTGGTGGGTGACACCAAATAATTCTTCTTGAACTGATGCACATTTCTTCAAATAAAGAACTCCATCTTTGTACAACTTTACTTCTACCAACATTTTCCCAATGTTTAGGTAACATGAAGCTGTTTTTTCATGCTTGACACCAAAATGAGTTTCATATATATCAAGAGCTTTCTTCAGATATTTAAGAGACTCTGCATAATTACCCATGTCATGTAGTTCAACACTAACATTGTAGTGCGAGTCAGCCATTTTAACATGTTTGGTGCCAAACAGCTTTTCACGTATTTTACGTATTTCAAGACTTGTCTCGTTACCCTCAACATCATTGTAAGAGCCAGCAGTGCAAGAGTGATTACTTTCTAACTCTTCGGCTATTGCCATGGCTTTCTTATAATATGCAAATCCATCAAAGTTACCCATCCCTATCAGCAGGGAACCAATATCTATGTATAAGTAAGCAGATTGTTCGATATCAAGCAGCTCTTCCTTTACTGCAAGACTTTTCTTTAAATATTTCAGAGCATCATCATCCTTACCCATCTCTTTTAGGACAGTACCAATATTGCTGTATGAGTCAGCAGTTTCAAAGTGCTTGTTGCCAAGCAGCTTTTCACGTATTTCGAGACTCTTCTTGTGGTATTTCAATGCATCATCATACTTACCCATGCCATGTAGTACAATGCCAATATTGTTGTACGACTCAGCAGTTTCAGTGTGCTCGGTGCCAAGCAGCTTTTCACGTATTTCAAGACTTTTCTTGTGGTAGCTCAATGCATCATCATACTTACCCATGTCTTGTAGAACAATACCAACATTGTTGTACGAGTCAGCAGTTTTAGTGTGTTTGATACCAAACAGCTCTTCATGTATTTTAAGAGCTTTCTTACGATAAATCAGAGCATCGTCATACTTACCCATCTTATGTAGCAGGTTACCAACATTGAAGTATGAGACAGCAGTATGAGGGTGTTCAGTACGACCCAGCGCTTCTTGTATTGCAATACTTTTCTTATAATAAGTAAATGCATCATCAAGCTTGCCCATAGCGGATAGAACAGCACCAATATTGTTGTATAAGTCAGCAGCTTGAATGTTGTTTGTACTAAAATGCTCTTCATTTATTGCAAGACTTTTCTTTAAATATGTAAGAGCATCATCATACCTACGCATCCCGTGATATAGGCAAGCAAGATTGCTGTATGATTGTGCAGCTGTTAGGTGTTTGGAACCAAGCAGCTCCTCACGTATTTCAATACTTTTCATGATGTATTCCAGTGCATCATCATACTTTCCCAAACCCTGCAAAATACTCCCAACACTATCACATACTAGAGATAAGTGTATACCAGTTTGTTTTTGTCCAAGCACATTGTATTGTCTTGCTGTTAGAATATTTTCTAATTCTTTTAATAGATGCAGAGATTCATTAAACAAACACAATTGTCGCAAAAAAATGGCTATGTCCAGAAGTCTTTCTATAAAATCATCATAGTCTATGTCAACATCCCTGCCCAGTTCAGTTGTGCTTGTTGATCTATTCTGAAGGTATTTTAACAAGAGCTTTCCACTGCACAACAAATGTGGAAGTATGGTTGCTGCTATTTCATTTGCAAATTTTGTAAGTGCGGTTTCAAACATTACTATCAATGTAGCTGCCCTTTCACTATAATATTTGCAGTATGAAATTTCTATCGTTGATTTTTTATCAGAAAGTTGTTTTGCTTGGGACTCAGAAAAGGCATTTAACAAAGGATGTAGATCATAAATCTGATCACTCACTTGGTTTACAAGGGACTTGGATGTGAGACTGTCAAGAATGTCTTCACATTCGCTCTCTTCTTTTTGGAGAATGTTTGAAACATCCGTCAAATGAAACGACACTGGGAATATGTACAGGCTGCAGAACATATCTTTTTCGCTATCAGACAATGCTTCAAAAGATATTTCAAAAGTTGATTTCAGCCTTTCAAATTCAGATGTATCTGTTACTTCAAGAATACCCTTTCCGTCTATTTTCTCTTTCATTCGCACACCTCCTTTCTTTCCTATTTGAGGCGCAAGTAACTTCAAGGCAAGAGGACAGTACCCACATTTAGCAGCTATTTCTTCCAAGATTTTTGCCTCTTCTTCTGTTTGAGATGTAGAACCCCCACCTG